TCAAATTTCTCAATCGATTTTTTGATTTAAAGGCCTTTTTCTCTTTTTCCCTTTTTCCTGGTTCTTTTCTTTTCTAAAAATAACTTTTGTTTCACGGAAATCTTTCAAAATGAATTTTTATTTTTATCTGATCGTAAAAATATGATCGTAAAGAAGTTAATAGGTTTATCGGCGAGGGGAAAATTGAATTCTTTCTCTTTTCTTGCAAAATTTTCAGTAATTGAAGAGGTAAAGGGATTTTGTAAAGAGATTGTGACGGAGAAAACGATTCCGGAGAAATTCCCGCTATTATTTCAATAGAACAATTAGGTTTATTTGCTTGCTTAGTACATAAATGAAATCGATTGTAGTTTTGGGTAAACAATAAACGTATTTGATTCTCTTAATAGTTTGTTTAAAGTAAGAAACAATCAGCTAGATCTAGATCAGTAAGCTAGATCAGATTAAAAACAGACTAGGCCAGATCAAAGCTAGGGCAGATCAAAGCTAGTCCAGATCAAAGCTAGGCCAGATCAAAGCTAGGCCAGATCAAAGCTAGGGCAGATCAAAGCTAGTCCAGATCAAAGCTAGGCCAGATCAAAGCTAGGCCAGATCAAAGCTAGGGCAGATCAAAGCTAGTCCAGATCAAAGCTAGGCCAGATCAAAGCTAGGCCAGATCAAAGCTAGGGCAGATCAAAGCTAGGCCAGATCAAAGCTAGGGCAGATCAAAGCTAGTCCAGATCAAAGCTAGGCCAGATCAAAGCTAGGCCAGATCAAAGCTAGGGCAGATCAAAGCTAGGCCAGATCAAAGCTAGGGCAGATCAAAGCTAGTCCAGATCAAAGCTAGGCCAGATCAAAGCTAGGCCAGATCAAAGCTAGGGCAGATCAAAGCTAGGCCAGATCAAAGCTAGGGCAGATCAAAGCTAGTCCAGATCAAAGCTAGGCCAGATCAAAGCTAGGACAGATTAAACAAAAGTTGATGAAAATATCGACTTTTACAAGATTTACAAGAAACCAAAGGCCTAACTTTGTTTAGACTATTATTGACGATCGATAACTAACTTAAAAACGACTCTTTTTGAGCTTGAATTAAATTTTTCGTGTTTCAATCCTCTCTCCGGAAACTTTCATTCACATTCTTCTTACTTTACTTACTTTTAGAATTGTCGTAGTAGTGAAATTAGTTTATTTATAGAGTCATAGACATCACAAAACGTCAATCAAACTACAAATCAATAGAGAAAAGCTAGAGTTCTCAAAGAAATAGAAACAAAATTATCAAAAAAAAAAGCTACAAACCGTTGAAATTATTGTGGGAAAGGGAGAGACGAAGTTGGAGCGTAAATTTTGCGGAAGAAAACTTCTAAAAAAACTTCCGGGTGTTTTTCTTGATGTAAACATTTCAATAACCTTTGAAAGATCGAATTATTATTCATCAGACATGTTTATACAAACTAAATCAGGAAAAGAAAACTTATTCTGGAGGTAGGATTCAAAAAATCGCAAAGTCCAGAGACACCTTTTCTCTCTTTACATAACTATTATATTTTTGCTATTTGATAATACTCAACAATTATCCTAATAGATATGAATTCATAAGCTTCTATTTTTTTATGTAAACTTTTATCAATCTGTTAAATGTATCAGAACAGGGTTCATTTGACTCAAATTCCCTCCCACTTTGCCAAGTAAAATTTGCATTTAAAGTTCTCCACTTTGTTCAGTATAATTTCCGTTTAAAAGATGCAATTTTCATTTAGTTTTATGAGCTTATTGCAAAGAATAAATAGAAAATGAATATGAGTAATATGGTAAATGAATATGAGTAATAAAAAAGTAATATGGTAATAATGGTATGCAAAATGAGTTAAGATTGAAAGATAAGATTGAAAGATAAGATTGAAAGATAAGATTCAAAGATAAGATTTAAAGATAAGATTCAAAATAAGCGGCGTAAGAGTCACTAGTTTCCTATGTGACTCTTATAACGTCTATTTTTAAATACAATTTGATTTCAAGGATGAAGGATGAAGGATGATTTCAAGGATCAATTGATACCAGCCACATCTAGCTATTATTTACTAGTAGAATGGAGAATTTCGGGTTGTTACTAGACCACTAAATTTACTCTCACGAGATTTATAAGATGGATGAATCTATTTAGTCATCTGGCTACAAGGATCACTTCAAATGCTATTTTCGAGGTTACTAGATCTTTTCCACTACTAGATATTTCCACGGATAGGTCATAGCATTTGCAAATCCAAAAAATGCAAAGGTAAAAGCGGGGGGCGGACTCGAACTAGAGAACCCGACCTAGCCTTTGCCTTGTATTCTGACCCACTACCACTCGGCCATTACTGCTGCCCCGACGCTTGGGAAATCTATTTATAAATACGGGGGATCATTTTTAAAATCCATACAAAACTTTACAGGCTTATAACTTTTGACAGAGTGCTCCATAGCAAAAACGGAAAGCAGATTTGGAATCAGCGTTGAATTTTGCATAACCCGTGGCACATTTGTTGTATCATTTGTTGGCATCCAGCTGACATTGTTATCTTCCGCCGTTCCCGCTTTTTATTACCAAACAAATCTCGTTCTCGACTCAAGTATTCCCCAAGTTTCTTTCTTCCTCAAAGTTTCTTTCTTCCTCTTCTTCTTTCTTCCCATTTTTGTATTCAATCTATTTACGTCAATTCCCCAATGTTTCCAGCACCAAAATAGATCGAAAAAAAATAGAGGAAATCGTCAAAATGGAGTGTGAGAGTATTGTTTTCTCAATTTTATATTCTTCTTTCATTCTTCTTTCATTCTTCTTTCATTCTTTTCTCATTTCTATCCATCTAATCCATCTCTAGTCTATCCAATAATTTATCTGCCATTGTTTTCTTTCAAACGTATTCTACCACTTCTTGCCCTTTTCTACTTCACTTTTCATAAACCGTCATTTGTTTTTTTCATCTTGTTTTGTTCATGCCCATTTCTTTGCAACAAATTTATCTGATCAATCTTTTTAGCAAAACGCTAATTTAGAGGTTTAGTTTTATTTGTTAAACGTGTAATTATGAAAGTAAGTCAAGGAATTGAACTTTGAGCACGTTTTATCCAACTGTTTGGTTTATTTGCTAAATGTGTAATTATGAGCCAAGTAAACCTGATGAGTAGTGTGTTCTCCTCAAATCTTTTTTCTAAAAGGTGAGCTCGCAAAAAAGCTACATAAAATTTCGATAGAGATAGAAAAAGAACAAGCAAAACATTAGAAAAGACGTAAAAAAAGAGTAGCTTTAGAAAAAAGCGCTTTTTAGAAACAATGATTTGAACAATTTGATTTGAGTTATGATTTGATTTGAGTTGCAATTTGATTTCAATTACAATTTGATTTGTTAGGAGCACACTCTACTCATGAGTCTGAATGCTCCTAGGGTTCTAGAGTCTATAAGTCAAGCCCAGGTTTAGTTGTCGGCTTAGGAATCTTCTGTAAATCTGTAATCTTCTGCAGTAAAGCCAGACCAGGCCAAAGTTCGGCTTTGCTTATCTTGTCGAGTTTTTGTTAACATTTCTTGCAAACTTTCAAAATCAAAACTAAAGAAATCTTTGTTTTCCACTTTACTTCAATATAGATCTCATTGTCAGTCTTGTCGCTGAATACTTTCGTTGTACTCTTGTGCAATAAGTGGCCAAGTCTTCTGGTGTTGTTTGAAGTCCTAGAAAACCTAGCTGACATAGTTAGCAAACTCTTTGCCAAGCAGCTCTATGGCAAGAATTGTTCGTATCGAATCTTCTTTTCTTTTCACTATTTTCCTCACACTTCCTCGTTCGCCTAATGAAACAATTTGACTTTTTAGCGTTTCTCTTCGAAATTCGAGAACAATCCAAAGGCAATCAGTACATTTCTCTCCACTAATCGGCAATTATTTCAACGTTTAAATGATATTCTAAATACATTTTTTTCTAGATAAACTTTTTCTGACTCTCTAATTCTTAGGGAGTGTTTTTTGTGTGACCAAAAATTACCCACAAAATCATCAGTTTCGAGGGATTTTCTTGAAGTTTTTTGCTGGAACTTAAGAGTTGCAATTGGGAAAAAAAGAAAGGTGTCATTATATATGATATAAAAAAAAGAAAAAAAAAGAAAAAAGAAAAAAGAAAAAAAGAAAAAGATAAGATGTTATATATCAAAATTTCTCATTATCAATCAAAAATCAAAACTAAGTATCGATTGTTTTTGCATTTTTTTCCCGCAAATCTTTTCTTTCTTTTCTTTGAGTGATTTTCGTGTAATTACCGTTAAAATCATACACTACTGGACAATGAAATATCATATTTGAAAAAAAAAGACTTTCGCCCTTCCGCGCGTCTGCAACTCCCTTGTCTTTACCGTATTTGTAAATATTAATATTACCATTGTGTAGCCCTTGAAAAGAGCTTTCAGAAAATGTATGACACTAATAGTTTAAACTCAAAGACAAGCGAGTTACAGACGCGCGAAAGTGACGATCGTTTTTCAAATATCATATTTCATTGTCCAGTACTGTATACCCTTTGAAAAAAAGCTAAAGTGAATGAAACAATGTCTGAATTTTCTTTAATATTACTTAATTTCTTTAGATATAACCGTATTACATTGAATTTTATCTAATTTTTTTTGTCAATTTCGATTAGAACCAGAGAAAAAGAGACTTTGCATATAAGATTTTCTCAAAAAAACTTTACTCTACCGTTCAAACAGCAAAATCTTATCTGAATATCTTTTTTTTAACCTTATTATTATTTAGATTTTTAGATTACTATTATAAATTACTGTTTTATATCGAATTTCTGAACATTAGCTATTTTTAGATTACTATTATAACTTTATAAATTACTTATAACTTTACAAATTACTTATAACTTTATAACTTACTTATAACTTTCACTTACAGATTGTTCCTTCCATTTTCACCTTTTTATCAACTCCATCTACTCATCAAATATTGAATGTTTAACTGAAAAACGACTCAAAAATCCACTTCATAAACATGGGAATTTGCCATTCGGAAGAAGAAAAAGTCAACATTCAGAAAAGTAAAGACATCGATAAACAAATTAAACAAGGACAAATCGCGAATGAAAGGACCGTGAAATTGCTGTTATTGGGTGAGTGGATGGAAGCTAATCGTAGATATGTGAAAATCGAAATCGAAAATTTCGAAAATTCAATTCTCATTTCTATTCCAAAGTTTAGGAGCCGGAGAATGTGGAAAGAGTACGGTACTGAAACAGATGAGGTGAGCACGAGTTTGAGATTGGGCACGAGTTTGAGATTGAGCAATAGTACTCATTGCGTTCGCGCAAATGCCTCAAAAAAACATAATTTTATATTCTTCGAATATTTTGAATAGTCTCGAATAGAATAGTTATATTCGCACCAATACAAAATTTGATTTTTCTCGGAAATCCGGATCTTTTGAAATCACTAGTTTCTCGGCTAGTTTTATTCAAGTTTCTCGGCTTCTCGGCTATTTAGAGGGATGTCGAATCCCCCGCAGCCCCGTCTGCAATGGCCAAGTGGTTAGAGCGCTCGCACCTAGTGAGAGAGATCAATGGTTCGAATCCGAGTTCGAACAGAACTTTTTTTTTCCCATTTTCAGCCTATTGGCTTTTCCCCAAAAGCCATTTTCAGCCTATTGGCTGAGTTTATTTTAACCATTTGTCCCAAGAAAAGTCCCAAGAATCGAATTAGCTTTGGGGTTTTGTATAGGATAGCTTTTCACAAAAAAACCCGAATCTCCGAGAAGAACGGACTTCTATTTATCGACACTACTTTATTCAAAAGCCATAACCCAAAGATTATCCACTCGTCAACAAAGCTACCGTAAATACTGTAATAGTACCCCACCCCCCTCGTACAGTCGCGTAGTCGCAAAAGTTTTTTAGTATTTCATTTTTTTCAAAGCTTTCTTTCAACTTTCAAAAAATGCGTTATTGGTATCAAAAAATAGCTGAAATTCAGGGCTATTTTTTGATACCTAAGCGCGCATTGTAGCATAAACTAGTGTCGAGAAAAACGCGAGAAAAACACGTTCAAAGCTAGACTACGCAACACTCTGCACCGTCATTATGGGAGTGTGGCACTATTACAGTATTTACGATAGATCAAGTAACACTAGAGTGATATCCAAAGGCATACTGATTAATTTTTTAAAATCTTTTTACTGCTTTCTTTCCAGAATACTCCACAATAATGGTTTCACCGAAGAGGAATTGGAACAACAGAAAATCGTCGTTTACAACAATACAGTGAACGCGATGGGATCACTGTTGAAAGCAATGCAAAACTATCAAAGACCATTCTCGAATAAAGAAAGAGAGGTAGAAAATGATTGATTTGGGAATATTTGGGGATTCTTCAGAAAGATGCTCGCGTTGTGCTCGAGGTGATTAAATCGGGACGAGAAAGTGAGCCATTCACGTCGGATGTGGCTGTTGCATTGAGGGTGAGAAATAGAGAGAGACATTTGACAAATAGAATCTATCTAAACATGCATTTTTTTATTGTTATATAATATGCAAAAACTATGGTACTGATAGTGCATTTAAGAATGTCTGATTTAAGAGCAAAAACAAAACAAAACAAACAAACAAATCTAATAACGACTACGCGACTGTACGCTCAAAATACCGTCGTCACGAATACCGTCGTCACGAAAGAACAAATTTCAGAACTTGTGGGGTGATGAAAATGTGAAGAACGCGTATGAAGAGAAACGACTTGAATATCATTTACATGAGAGCAGCAAATTGTGAGTTAACTGTTTATTATGCAAGAAAACCTTTTATATATTGGGTTGATGGAAAAGTCCTTTGTTTTTAAAAAAAAGTTGTCCAGCCAAAGTTCGCACAAACAAAACAAAAATAAAACGAGAAAAACGAAGGAAAATCGCGAAAAGCGGCGGAAAGGCTATTGATCTGAGGGTCGCTGATTCGACTTCCACCGGTGACCATATCTTTCAAAAATCTTTTGCTAAGATTCTGAAAATGCGTGTCTAGGGGTTATTTTTGACGCTGATCACGAAACACATGTTTTTAGCCTAGGTTTCTGCACGGAAAACTAACGAAACGTGAAAACAGCCATTTTTTGGCTCTGTCGCCCTTTACTAAAATAGCTGTAAAAACTTTAAAAAAAGAGATATCTCAAAACGGTTTTTACTAATCGATCCGTCTTGAATTCAGCTTTAGGATGAGCTATAAAACGTCAAAATTCGACAAATTTAAGGTACTCTCCCAAAAAATCGGAAAGGACTTTTCCATCAACCCAATATAATAATAATAACAATAATAATAACCTTTTTTATATGATAATCGCTTATATCTTTAGTTTCTTCGATAGTATTGATCGGATATCGAATCCCTCATACAGACCGACCGAACAAGATGTGCTCTTGACCCGGATAAAGACGACGGGAATTGTCGAAGTGGAATTCGTCATCAAGAAAGTTCACTTCAGGTACAAAACTCACAAAATGTCAAAAAGTAGAGTGTACTCCTGTTGACTAAAGTGCTTTCAAAACTATCGTAAGTTTCCCTCCACTTGAGCTAGCCTTTCAAGGTTCACAAAGAAATAATAATAATAATAAACCACAAAAAGAAACATTCGATTACATTATCTACGATTGACAAGATTACGGCAGTCTGTAAAAGTAGACACGCTTTAGAAATTAATATTTATTTGATACTCGCCCCGCCGCCTTAGCCATTGACAATCCAACTTTCAGCTCAAATATCTTGGTGTTGGGGTATCCAATCTGAATACTTTTTATACCAATCGATAGAGAAAGACTTGACACATCTAATGATACTAAGAATATATCAAGTGAACAGCCCAACACCAAGAAATTTGAGTTCAAAGTTAGATTGCTGAAGGGAAAAGGCGCGGGGCGCTTACCAAATGTTCGATAACCAAAATAATCGTCAGTACGGCCCACCGGTGGGTAGTATTGTTGTGGATGTGTTAAGAGATTGGTCATTTTTAGAATATTCGACGTCGGCGGTCAACGATCGGAGCGCAAGAAATGGATTCACTGTTTCGAGGACGTAAACGCAATCATTTTCATCGCCGCCGTTTCCGAGTACGATGAAGTGCTTTTCGAGGATGCGACAACGGTTTGTTTACATCGAATCTCCATAATCTCCATAATTGCAGAATCGAATGGTCGAATCGATGCGATTGTTCGAATCAATTTGTAATTCTCGATGGTTCATCAACACATCGATCATCCTTTTCCTCAACAAAAAGGATCTGTTTTCCGAGAAAATTCAACACGTCTCCATCAAGATTTGCTTTCAAGATTATAATGGTGAGTTGAGAGGGATTTAGGGTAGAAGCAAAAGGAATACCGAATAGCAAAAGCAATAAAAATGATGAAGCGTCGCCCGTTCAACTGAGAGCTAAAAAGTTGCACTAAATAGCGAGTTTTCAAAGTGAAATCTCTGAAACTTTGCTAAAAAATGCACTTTTCATAGACACAACTATAGAAAGAAACGAAATTGTATTTCCTTCACTTATCGCTGAGAAAATCAAACTTTAAACTTTGAAAACTTTGAAGTAAAGTAAGTAACTTTGAAGTTTGAAGATGTGTAAATTCTTCAGAGATCTTGTGGTTTCAATCGACGTATTATCTGAGTCTAAAATCTGACCATTACAGTCCACTAATATTGAAGAAATCAGGCAGACTGAATATCTTTAAATTATCGTTTAATTCGTGAAAATGATATGGTAAACGGAAACGGTTTTGATTATAGTTCCTTTATAGTTCCTTCATAGTTCCTTTATAGTTCCTTCATAGTTCCTTCATAGTTCCTTTATAGTTCCTTCATAGTTCCTTCATAGTTCCTTTATAGTTCCTTCATAGTTCCTTCATAGTTCCTTTATAGTTCCTTCATAGTTCCTTCATAGTTCCTTTATAGTTCCTTCATAGTTCCTTCATAGTTCCTTTATAGTTCCTTCATAGTTCCTTCATAGTTCCTTCATAGTTCCTTTATAGTTCCTTCATAGTTCCTTCATAGTTCCTTTATAGTTCCTTCATAGTTCCTTCATAGTTCCTTTATAGTTCCGTTTTGATTTGACAAAAACTACTTGTTCTCTTAAAGAAAACTTTCAAAATCAGTCTCTAAGCTTCAACAAAAAAAGCGTTAATTAACTCAAGAAGATCCAAGAATTCACTTATTTCACCCATCCAATTCCAGGCCCACAAACCTATGACGATTCGATCCATTTCATTCGCGGGAAATTTGAATCACTGAATGCAAATCCGAAGAAAACGATTTTCGTTCACCAGACGTGTGCAACGGATACAGATCAAGTGCAAAAAATCCTCGACTCTGTCATTTCAATGATTATACAGCAAAATCTACACAAGAGTGGTCTCTATTAGAAGAATTTTGTTGTTTCCTTTCGTTTTTCTATGATATTCATTTAAAACAATACTCTACCTTTCTCGAAAAAGCCAAAATTTTCCTGAACAATCCGGTACATTGTTGCTTGATATCTATAATTCAAATCAACTTTTACCGATCGATTTGTCTACTGTCACCGATAGATTTGTCTACTGTCACCAATAGATTTGTCTAGATGGCAAATAGAAAATAATTGAAGATGTTTAGGAAAACTGAATTTTTCTATTTAGCAGAGCTTACAATTAGTAGACAAGTCCACTTATCATTGTTGACCAAGAGGTAGGCTAATTTCCGGCATTTTATTTGCGCAACAGGGTCATTTGCGCAACTCGCCATAACTTTCTTCTAAGTAAGCCAATCTTTATGATTTTGGTGTCATTTTGTTACACTTATTGAGATATACAAAATGACACCAAAATCATAAAGATTAGCTTACTTAGAAGAAAGTTATATGAGTTGCGCAAACGACCCAGTTGCGCAAATGACCCTGTTGCGCAAAAAATTTGGCGCAAAGTAGCCTATCCCTTGACCAAAAAAATTTTTCCCGGTAATTTAATTTTGTGCAAAAATTTTTGTTGTTCATTCAAGTAGAGAAGGGATTTCTGTTTGAAATAAGGTTTTTATTAGCATGAGATTATTAAAAATTTTGAAAATTCGACAAATCTGAAGATAATTGGATATTTGATCAGATTTCTAACCAGTTTTAAGTCGTAAGAAAAATCAGAGATCCCTAATTTCAAATTTTCCTATTCTTGTGTGGCTCATTCATTGATCTCATGCACATTTCTTTTGGATATCATTTTTGGCGCGTTTGTGCGCTCCTATTTTGCCTTATTCGGTTTTGATTTATTCTATTTTATTGTTTTTTTGTTTATTTTATGTTTTTTGTAAAGGCGATCAACATATTTCAAAATATTTTCAAAATACAGTTTTGAATGTTTAATAAAGCGTCAGACAAAAGATACTTTCACCCTTCCAACGTTTATACAACAATCATTAAAAAGAAGGCGCATCTCGTATGAAAAGAAATAAACAAACCGAAGATCACAAAGAAATGAAAAGTGAAGAGAATTGTTTCTTGAAGAGTTCACGCTCGCTTTCAGACCTTTTTCTCATTCTTTCCACTGTTTTTCATTTGTCTTCGAGCCTCGCGAATCGCTCTCCATTCGGCACGCACCAAGTGTATCACATTCAAATCGATGTATTCTTCCGACTGAGCCCATGCGGAGAAGTAAATCACGATTCCAGATCTAAAAACAAAAAAGAATACAGAGTTTAGATTTTGAATTAACATAACAGATGTTAATTCAAACTTAATTCAAAATTTAATTCAAACAACTTCTTGAGCTAATTTACCCTATAAAACATTCAAAATCTAAACTCACAGAAGACAGAAAATAATGATAGCATAGTGAATGGCTGCAAATCTGTAAGCAATATCGAAGTTTTCCTCGTCGACGTAAGAGTTTCGGCTGAAAGGAACAATGAAACTAAAACAATCGTAGACTAGAGTCGTCATGATCTAGAAAAGCACAAAAACCCCCACTTACCCTGATTTGTTCTGGAATTTGTGTTCAACTGTAAAACGTCGAGAGATCGCCAACTGCTGTGAGTGCTAAAAAGAGTACATATAGCTCAATGTTTGAAAGCAAAAAAATCACCGATGTCATGTATGCAATACAATGCCTGAGTCCTCTTCTAACAGCTAGTCTTTTCGCACCATTTGGGACCGGGAGCTAAAATAAAACAATAATAAAAAAAGCATAAAACTTAATTAATCGTTTTTATTACTTTACATTCTTCGATAATATTTCAGAGCCCACCTTTACTGTTCTTTCTTTGTGGCTCTTTGCGGTCCCGTTACTCAGATTAACAACTTTAGCCTAAAAGAAACGATAACAAAATTTAGAGAAATTTTCAAAAACCAACTGTAACATTGACCCAGATTGATAATTTGATAAAATCGATATGCCGTTTTGGAGGCTAAAATAATGAAATAATATGAAATATCTCGATAAGTAAGCCTAATTAGAGGCTAACAAATGTAAAGTTAAGCTAAACAAAAAACAAACAGTAAACAGTACCTCGTGAAACTCGTTCAACTCGTCATGGTTGTAAAGCAGTCGCTTTGATCCAAGAGACTCTGTCTCATTTTCACTTGCACCTATACATTTAAAGTTTAGTAAAACATGAAAAGATCGAAGAAATTGGCGTCTTTAGAAACACGTAAACACACTTTAGAAAGATGATTATGTTTATTGCAATAGGAAATTATTTTTCAACAGTTTTTTCAAGTGCATATAAGAATGAATGAAAGAAAAATCTATTACTACGAAAAACTCTTACCAACGACATGAAGAGTATGTTTGGAAGTGACACCAGTTCCGATTATTGAGTAGCGAACGATGAATTCAGATATCGGCACAGCCTCCAAAATATCATCGAAGAAACGGAAAATGATTCTAAAGCAAATTTGAAAGAACTGTGTTATTTAGCGCTTTTTAAACTGTTTAACCATATCAAAAAGTGTTTCGGTAGTACAAAATGTCTCCCAAAACTAATGACACTAGAAAAATAGCTTGAAAGAAACTGAAAAAAAGCGTACATGTCAAAGGTTGTAATCGATGGATCATAAACAGCTTCGCCCAAGCATTCTCGGCTAAATAACACATTTAAACATGTAGCTATAGAAAAAAAAACCTGAACTCGACGGTAAAAGCATATGCATCACGAGTGTCGTTTACCGGGATGGGATGAGAATAAAAGTGCCGATCGTACATCACAGACGAGTTTGTGTAGAGGAGGTCGATTGTGCTAAATTTGATAGAATTTCTTGCAATATTAAAACAAACTAGAGTTTTTAAGTAAACTCCACGCAACTAACAAAAAATTTCGCACATTTCATTATGACTTTAAGTCATTAAAGGGGGGGGGGGGGGGGTATTAATCGCGGCCGGGTGACGATAAAAATTTTTTTACGGCAACCACCTGTTTTTTTATTTTAATATCGCTGATTTTATTATAAAAAAGAATAAAAATCACCCGGCTAGAGTGATTTGATGGGTTTACAAATTTTTGGAGACACTGCAAGGCTTGGAGAAAAACAAGATCGTCACTCATCAGACACCTCAGCTAAAAGGCACCTATTTGAGAAAACTAAAACCATAAGCGACCACAAATGAAAAAAGATCTAATTGTGTCAATCAAAGCGCTGAAGACGTCCTACGATGGAGGAGATCCAGTCACTTTTGGTGAAGATGCGCTGGAAATTGATAAGATAGGAAGCCGATTTGTACTGCTGTACTTGAGCCGAACTGCTGTACTTGAGCGAAGATGAAAGTGAGCAAGAGGAAGAATTATAGATTAACAATTTATTTTTATTACTTTTTGTGCTTTTTTATTTTGTTTTTAAATTTATCTGCAACTAAAACTCAATCGATCTAGACTGTGCTGAGGTGTCTGATGAGTGACGATCTTGTTTTCCTCCAAGCCTTGCAGCATCTCCAAAAATTTGTAAACCCATCAAATCACTATAGCCGGGTGATTTTTATTCTTTTTATAATAAAATCAGCGATATTAAAATAAAAAAACAGGTGGTTGCCGTAAAAAAATTTTTATCGTCACCCGGCCGCGATTAATACCCCCCTTTAAAACGTTTTGTGCTGGTTATTAACCATTTTGAAATCTATGCTAACTACGTAGTGCATCTCCTATCCAAGGCTACCATCCTGGATCATTTAAACTTTAAACGACCGGGCTCGATGAAATCTTTATATTACTTAGAAAGAATCTAGATATCCCCATGATAAATCGACAGACAAGAAACCAATATCGATAATTAAAATACCACCAACCTTTCAATCATCTTTGATTCCGAGCTGACAGCAGCAAAGAGACACAAAATGATGAAGAACTGCATCAAGACGAATAAGAAAGAAAGAATGATAAAACAAAGCAGCTTTTCGTTTCATAACCTTATTCAAATTACAGATATATTCAAATCGAAATATTAAAATTTTTATGAGACTATGAGAAAATTTTTATGAGACCAAATACCCCGCTTCACCCCAAAAAGCACACTCATTCATTCAAGCACACAAAAAGCACACTCATTCATTTATTAGGCAAGTAAATATTTGTCATATCACAATGTTTCTAAAATGATTAGAATTTAAATGATAAAATCGATTTAAGAGTAAAAAAATGGCAATTGTGACGCAATTTAGACAATTTGATCATTACAGTAATCCTCTTCCTGTTCATCATCGCCACTTTCTCCTTGGTCCAGCATGTCCACAACCTCCTCTCGAATGAACTAAAAAGTTGGATATTTTTCTTGATAAACCAAAGCTTTGCTGAAAGTCAATCGAAAAATCGATACTTTAAAAAACTTACGTGAATAACGTTAAAATCGAAGCTATGAATCGACCAGGTCCAAGCAATCAACCAATAGAACACCATTGAAATATTTAAAGTTTTGATAAATAAAGGAACACAACACAGTGCTATAGAAAATATCTAACGTTCGTTGTTAAAACAACCTACCGTAAATATTGTAATAGTGCCCCACCCCCATAATGACGGTGTGGAGTGTTGCGTAGTCTAGCTTTGGACGCGTTTTTCTCGACACTGGTTTATGCTACAATGTGCGCTTAGGTATCAAATGAAAGCTTAAATTCAGGGCTATTTTTTTGATACCAAAGACACATTTTTTGAAAGTACGGGCGCTTTGAAAAAAATGATTTAAGAAAAAATTTTTGCGACTACACGACTGTACGGGGGGGGGCGCTACTATTACAGATATTACGGTAATACTTTTGTTTTTATGTGCTTTTTATCTCATAAAATTTAGAAATACTCTTTATTAGTTAATCAATCACTCACACAGTTTCAAGAAAGAAGAATAAAAGTTCAAAATAAAAAAGAAAGTGCAATCATTTTGAGAAAGTAAAAATCTCTAAATCTTCTCAACAAAAGAAGCAAATTAGGCAAATTAGAAATCCCATTGAAATTTTTAGAATTCTCCCAGGGCAGCAGAAAAGAATTCATCAAATTTTGTTTGGAAAAAAGAAAAAAAAAAATTGCTAACATTCTAAAAGTCTATTCCAAAGTCGAAAATTCACCGTAATCGTAATTCTGGGTGCATTTTAGTGTTAGTTTCCATTTAAGTAGTTTCCGTTTATTGTCATTGTCCAACCATTGAGCAGCATTTGGTCAGAAATGGCAAATTTGGCAAACAGAAAAAGAGAATTCCCTTTTAATCAATTTTCTACGATTCATGGGGTAAATTTTCAACTTTGGTTACACAAGAAAGGCTAAAAGATCTAGCTAGCACTTAAAAAAAAAAGATTAGAGACGATTTCATAGATGATCTTTCATAGATGATCTTACAGTAATTTCGTAGGCAGCAGAAATCACTCAAATTCAGAAAATCGTCTTGTAAATGAAAGAAAAACACACATTTCGTTGAGCAGTTGTGATCAAAAATTTAACCATGGGCAGCATTGGTTAAACTTTTTGTAGGTGAAATTTCTCAAATTTTGTCATGAGCAGCAAATGACAAGATAATGCGATGGAAAAAATATTATATAATGAAAATATCCAAGAATAAGTAATTGGTCCTTTTTTTTAATGAAAAATCAGTTTTCTCATCAGTTTTCTGTTTACTTGCGAAGGGGACGGTGAGGTAAAGCCGCCGATGAACCTGGAAATTGAATTGATTGAGTTGAAATAATTGAGTTGAAATGATTGAGTTGAATTCATTGAGTTGAATTCATTGAGGGTTTTGATGCGTTTTAGCGTAATATCTAGAGTGTGTTCCTCGCGAGTAAGTAATTACTCGAGTAAATTTGCATGAGTAATTTTTTACTCGAGTAATAGCTCAAGTAATTGTCGAGTAATGTGTTTTCTAAAAAGTGCGCCTGCGCGAAAAAAATATAAAAGCAATTTTTTGCGTAGGTTTTTCTAAAAAAAAACATTTTTTTACATTGGAAGGAAATTTCCCACCAAATCAGTTAAACGGCTGAGTATCTTTAAAAAGTGCCGTATATAATGCGGGGCTCGTCATTTTTGCGTCACTTTTTTGCAATAATTTTTGCTAAAAGTACGGTAATTTTTTTCCCAAATGTGCGTTTTAAAAAAAGCATTACTCGCGAAGAACACACCCTAGTAATATCTGTAATAGAAGAATATGCTTTTCTAATTCTTTCTCCTCTTTTATTACAGGTATCAGGGTAACACAATAACTATTAATAGACATATACTTAACACAAAAAGTACTAATAATCTTACAGAACAAGTACTGTAGATGAATGGGAACAAATCTTTCAAGAACTAGAACTAGATTAGTAATATTAGTAGTACTTTTTGATTAGTAGTACTTTTTGATAAGTTTCACAATGTTAGCACATTGTGAAAACTGACTTAGAGCTTTAGAGCTGACTATGAGCTTGGTCAAATGAACAAATTTGGCTTCTTCTTGTTCTTGTTTAGCGTCTAATAACTGAAACAACTCTTCCTACCAAAAGAACTGAACTTCAAATTGTGTACATTGGTTGACAGAAAGACGTGAAGAACGACAACTGCCAAAAAGAGACGATAAACTGGAACGAGGGACATTGGACACACACAAAAAACACATGAAACACAAAAATATTCATCGAAATTCCTCAAACCTTCCAATAGAATCATTGCAGTGGCAAGATCTTCTCCATACGGATTTCTCACTGTGCACAAATATTCTCCGAGATGTTCTTTCTCAAGATAAACCACCGAAAGAATCGAATTGTTTCCAGTGGTCTCAATCGAATATCCGTTTACTCCTAAAATTCGTCTATTTTTGAAAAGCCATTTAATTTGATCTATTTAATAAATTCAAGACGACGATTTTGACGACGACGATGAACTCCGCCCCTTTTTTTTGATTCGTTTGCTGTTAGCAATCTTTTTTGCTCATATCTTGATCAGGTTTCTTTGAAAAACGTTGAATTTACTTTTATTCGATAGAAAATTTGATTTCGAGTCGAATGAAAGCAAATTTAACATTTTTCAAACAAATCCAGCTAAGATACGAGCTAAAAACGTAGATTGCCAACGGCAAACGAACTGAAAAAGGGGCGGAGTTAAGACGGCTGCCAGTCGTATCGTCGTCAATGTGTTAACATCCTTTTTTTATCAACCAACCATCTTGAAGTCGATTCTCATCTTTAAACCACGACACAACGGGCGTCGGTTTTCCCTCGAATGAGCACTGCAGTTGAACTTTTTGTGCTAAAGCAGTTTGCACGGAAACTGGTTGAACCGTGAAACGAGGTTGAGCCAATGATGAATCACTCCTGAAATTGATGACTTTGATGAAAAAAAACGATGAAATTATCAATATTCTCTTGTCTCACTACTAAAGGATGCGAGAATTAAAAGAAATTCAAGCTTTAACTGAACTGGATCAGCTTTCAATCAGCTTGAATGTCAATCCGGCATACTATAGCACAAAAAGGAGTCTTTGACTTTAAGAACTTGACTCAACAACTTTAAGAATTCAACAACAACATCATCATCGATCATAAAATCACTTCCAAACTCTCTAACTCACAATGTCGGTTCTCTAACAGTCAAATCAATCGAATGACTAATCGATCCAGCTCCATTTGAAGCCGAGATTCGATATTTTCCGTCATCTTTTCTCGTCGCTTCATTTATCGTCAGCAACATCCAATTACCATCCGATGAAAGCTAAAATTCATAATACACTTATAGTTTATAATTTTTTTTTGCTTACTTGATATTTCTCATCATTGATAATCTTTGTATTTCCTTTAAACCATTCAACGACCGGATCTGGATGGCCAGTCACCTAAAATTTTATGTAAAAAAATATCAGATTGGGTTATCAAGTTGGCTGAAAAGTCTTGTCCACTTTTTTTAAAATAAATAATGAACCAATCGATCCGTATGTTTTATCAGAAAATTCTTCTATTTATTTACAAGTTGCCCTTTAAGAAATTCTGAAAAGCTCGCGTTAGTTAATTTTTTTTTTAAAGGTATAAACTGAAAAACGAAACTCAAAGTTCTGATTTGAGCACTTTTACTCATAAAAAAACCTATTTTGATGTTAAAAGAAATCAAAATAGGTTTTTTGAATAGAGATAGAGAATAAAAAGTTTAGTAGATAGACAAAATTTTCATAAAATTTCATCAAGCCTTTTTATTTTATGTTCATTGTAAGGATTTTTGCAGATTTTAGCAGTCTGCGAGCTATTTCAAATAACTTATAGTTAATTTGGCTTGCATAGAATTCAATGTCGTTATGCAACATGTTTTTAAATGCTTAAAAAACCAAAATTGCTGAGGCGGACCGGAGTCGAACCCGGGTTTTGTGGGCTAGAGACAAGTGCGCTTGCAGTGCGCTTGCAGACAAGTGCGCCAGAGCATGGCCTACTGGTTAACGCAGGCGTCTCTCAAACGGATGAAAGAAAGAGGTCGCGAGTTCGACTCCTCTCGCTGCCAATTTTTTCACTTTTTACTTCTTTTTTTGCTGCTGGTTCATTTATAAACGAGCATTTCAAAAAGGCGAAAGAGAAAGAGAAAAAGACTTTCCAGCCAAATCAATACTTCCGTAAGCTTTCAAAACCAACCTTAACCCTAATCTGAACAGGCATTCCCGGTTCTCCATTCACATTTGTAGGCGCATCCACAATTCGTGGAGGTTCTTCAATCAATGGTTTATCATCAGAACGAATCTAAAACTCATGAATTAAGCTTGATAGGTTGCTGGGGCTAATCTATTAGTTATAAGCCGAATTTCAACTTTCCTCTACATCTTATAATGTTGTCTCTCTCACCTCTAATCTCATCGCACATCTCGCGACTCCCCATTGATTTTTCGCCTCACAAATATACTCTCCCGCATCTTCCGGGAAAGCGTCCACAATCATCAATCCACAATGATTCTTATCTTTCTTATATTTGAATCCACTCGAATCAGCGACCACCATATTATTCCTTATCCATTTCACTTCCATTGGCTCTGATCCTTGCACCAATTCAGCATTCAATGTGCATTGTTGTCCATCTTTCACTCGGAATTTCTCCTTTATCTTCTCCATTCGGAACAATGGTGCAATTCCTTTGATCTCGGGTTTTTGTTCTCCTGGCGCAATCTCGAAAAGCATTTGCGTTCTCACTTCTCCATGCTCATTCGTCGCAATGCAAGTGTATGTTCCTTCGTCAGCTACGGTGACTGACGCAAATTTCAATGTTGCGCACTCTCCATCGTAACTCATCTGATAGCGCTCATTTGGTACAAGAGAGCTGCCATTTCTAAGCCATTCAATTCCCGGATTTGGATAAGCAGACACAGAGCATTCAACAGCAATCGTTTCTCCAGCTGTTGCTTTCAATTTTCCAGGAAGAACTTCAATGAATTGTGGCTTCTTTGGTTCTTTTCTTGATCGTTTTTTCGAATCAGATCTGATCACTTCAACTTCTGAGCTACTTGTAGCCAATCCCTCAGCATTCGTCGCCGTACAATTGTAGAAACCTTGATCATGAATTGAGACATGATGCACTTCCAAGTAGTAGAAATCTCCGTCATTGTAGATCGAGTACTTGTTGCCGGTTTCAAGGATCTGAAATTTTCAAATACTAAAGATTATTAGTCGTTTTGGGTTGGGAATACAAAATAGTGCCGTCGGGATTCGAATTTGAACCTACTGGGTGAATCTCGCTTACCGACCAAACGCTCTACCAATGAGCTACACCGACAAGTACTCGATCGTGTCCCTTACCGCCAAGATAGGGCCTTATGCCTTACTTAAAAGGGAAGGTTAACTAGCTGAGGCCAAATGCTATGCGACCTATACCATAACCAGAATTTTATGCTGATTCCGAATATATATTCCGTTTTTGCTAAATGAAAATCTAGCAGCAATTATAAGCGTCTAAAGTTGTCTGAAAGTTTTCATCTAAAAATGTGATCATTTGGGTCTTAGTGGGCTCCTTGCGGACCAGATTTGGTGCAGCCGTAGCCGAGTGGTACGGCGTTCGTTTTCAGAGCGAGGCCTCGCAAATTCGACCCCCGCTTTGGATTTTTCTTTTACTTTTTTCAAGAAGTCTTTATTTTCAAATCACAAACCATTCCCGATTTATCCCAATAAACAGTTGGAAGTGGATTCGCGGAAACAGCGCATTTCAGTCTCAGACTTCGTCCCTCTTCCAATTGTTTCTTTGTCTTTGGCCGAACCATGAACTTTGGTCGACAAGTCTTTCGATTTCGGTGTTGAATTGCTTGACGAATCTCATCAAGAGCTGATTGGGATTCGGTTTCCTCCTGAATATTGTACTGTCTTTCTTTTTCTCTATTCCCTACCTTCAATGATTCTTTTCTCTCGAGTTTCTTCTCTTCTTTGATCGATACATTTGTCTCAATTTCCTCAAATGAAGTGGAAGCTTCTTGTTCGAAAGCAGTCGCCAAAATGGATTCAGCTAATCCACGAGCCGCCGATTTGTGACCATGCGCGTGTGCGATTCGTTGACGAGTTTCTGAAAGTTTATAGTTAGCTTAGAGTCATTGAAAATCGTTGTTTCATTGCCAAAACCAACTTCTAGTCAACTGTCCAGCAACAGCAGCCGAGTCGCCGGCTCTCAACTCCAGATCCTCTAATCCATGGACGAAAACTGGAGCGGCTCCTTTCTTTCTCAATTCCATTCGGACTTGTGAAGCACTCTTGAGAAGCGCGCGTTGCACATCGGATTCCTGAAATGTAAGAGATGTGAGCATATTCTAATCTGTGCCCTACTGTGCACTTTATTATCAAAAATGTGGGATCTACACTAAACACACTACCTCAAAAGCGACTTTTGGCATCACAACGACATCTTGATCAGCTTTCTGCATGTATTGACGGAATTCTGGTGGAATTGCGTGTCGAGGCTTTCCGACATTCAAAGCGGCTAAATTCGGTTGTCTTGCTGCTGTCGTCTTGTTGTCTTGTTGTCTTGTTGTCTTATTGCTTGTTGTCTTATTGCTTGTTGTCTTATTGCTTGTTGTCTTGTTGCTTGTTTTCTTATTGCTTATTGTCTTTAAATAAACGCTAACTATTCTTTGTACTTATTTTATAGCGATCTAATATATCAAAGTATAAGAATATCGATGTCATCAATATAAGAATATCGATGTAAAAGCGATAATTGAAAAGCAAACCATTCGTTCGCAACATTCCATGGATATTCGATGCTTCCACACTGTATGTGCCAAGATCAAGAAGTGACACCTGGAATCGAATATTGAAAAAGATCCAGGCAACCGTAAAAACTCTGATAGAACAGCCTTCTATAGGAGCCTCGTGTAGTCGTAAATTTAATCGAAAACAAACGCTTGTATCTTGATCTCAAAGGTCTCAAGTTTAATCTCAAACAAACGCTTGTATCTCACTATATAAAAGACTTGTGTCTGTCTGTCTATGCGCTACTTCTCCGCATCCAGTGAGCCGTTTCAAATAACTTATAATTAGTTTGGCTTAGAATTTCATTTAGTTATGCAAAATGTTTTTAAATTCTTAAAAAACCAGAAGTGCTGACACGGGCGGGAGTCGAACCCGGGTTGTGTGGGCTAGAGACAAGAGCGCTTGCACTGCGCTAGTGCATGGCCTAATGGCTAACGCATGCGTCTCTCAAACGGATGAAAGAAAGAGGTCGCGAGTTCGACTCCTCTCGCTGCCAATTCTTTTGCTTTTTGCTGCAAATGACTGTAATATCTTTATATCTTTAAATTAAAGTCAAAAATATAGTTTATCTTTGGATTTTTGATAAATTCTAGCTTTTTTTCTAGCCAAATTCTAGCTAGACGTTTCTCACAAATTCTCAAACCTTTTTGATTTTCAGCTCGGCTTTGTTATCGCTAACATATTTGATTTGCACATCACGGCCTTCACGAACAAGGTTCTCGTTGTGTAACCATCTAAAAGATAATTTCACAGCCTCCATTTCCTCATTTACCTCAATTCGGGCAATGGATATCCAGCAGTTTCAACCTCGAAAGCGATCTCTTCTCCAAGCGGAGTCCAAACCTATGCAAATATAAAATAAATAAAAATGATATGAAACAAACGTCGCGAAGACATTTGATGAAACGAGGCGGCCCGGCTGGATGATCATTCAACTCGCCCACCAACAAATAGCATTGAGTTGACGATTCACCGTAGCTAAACAATTTTTATAGTTTTGTTTTGCAGTTAATAGCGCGTCCCAGCTACCGTACCCTCGCCACCGCCAAGCAATGCGCGTATATAAGACCATTTCCCCAATTCTTTTTCATTTTAAAAATTTTATTTTATTTTTAAGCCGCTAGCCTTCGCACTAAGCCTAAGCCTAAGCCTAGGCCTAAGCCTAGGCCTGAGCCTAAGCCTAAGCCTAAGTCCAAGCCTAAGCCTAAGCCTAAGCATTTCTCATTATTATCTCGAAACTCACCGATTCGATGCCACACATTGATAAGTTCCCTGTTGATTTCGATAGGTTCTCTCGCACTTCAGCTCGGCTGTGTCTCCACCGCTGCACTCAATCCAACCTAAAACTCATAAAATTACTAGTTAAACTCTCTAAAAAAGTCACACTTTTCACTTACCAGTTGGCACATTATTGAGACAAATCCTTCTCATATTGTCATCAATGAAATACCAACGAATCTCCGGCTCGGGTACTCCCTTGAATTTGCAGCTCAATGTGCATGGATGACCGTTCACAATGCCTGAATTTTAGAAGAATTTTAGAAGAATTTATTAATTAGAATAAAATTTATGTTATTTTAAATGTTATACTTTGAAAAAATGTTACCCATATCTCTCATTGGGCTGAGGAAAACCGGCGCGCAATTCTCGATCGGTCTCGCTGTGCCCCGTTGCACGATCACCTAAAATTATTGTTTTGTAAACAGTTTATATTTTAAAAAATCTGTCTTAAAACTTGTAGATTTCTCAATTTCAATAAACACTGCCTATTTTTTTAAGCCATTTCCTTTGTTTTACCTGAGTTTCAACGATCGTCTGTCCCTCAGAATTCTCAGCGATGCACTGGAAGATTCCCGACGTTTTCTGCACGACGAAATCGATTTGAAGATGCGATTCGAACTCTCCAGTGATCGAAGACTTAAGGAAACTTTAGAAATCAAAAAGTTGAAGAAAAAAAAATTGGATCTACGGTTGAAGTGCGCAAAGTTTCCTGTTTCTAAAAAGCGTTTAACTTTAAGATTTTATTTAGCTATAGCTTAGCTTTAGCTTTAGCTAATAGATTTCTAAGGCAACTTTTAGCACTTACGCTTCCTTTTGAGTGATTTGGTAAGGTGGATTTGCTAGGGTTTCCGGACATTTGGCAACTTTTAACCAGGAATAGCTAGTGTATTTCCTCTGATAAGCGATCTTTCCACTCCCCAACTTTGGACGCCTCGTTCTTGACCCCATTTTGAGATATTTTTATTTTTAATATACGAAAAGATAGCCCTTAATGTCTTCTATCTTTTGGTATATTAAAAATGAAAATATCTCAAAATGGGGCTGAGAACGAGGCGTCTAAAGACGATCAACTTACAACTATTATTTGTTTGTTTGTTTTTAGCTTGCTTTTGTTGAGTAAATTCTAAAATCGTTCAAAAGAAAACCTGATTTTGGTGCATTTTTCCTCCAGATACATCCGATAGGACAGGAAGGAGGTAATGTTGATACATTCGATTTGTTCGAGAAATATTCTTTCCATCTTTTTTCCATGTGATTCGAGGCTGGGGTTCACCGATTGCCTGAAAGTTAGAAATATTGAAATGTTGAAAGAAATATTGAAACAGCATCAAATCAAATCATATCAGAACTTTAAAACTCACTTTTGCCACAAGCTTAATGGTTGAGCCTTCAGGTGCATCGATGAGTCCGGCTGGTGCTCGGACGAATTTGGGTGGAGCTCGTTTATCACTCAACACATCGGCCAACACCAAATGCGCGTCGGGTCCAGTGGGTTCGGCGACGAAGACCAAACATTGCGATGACTCGACTCCGTATGCATTTGACGCTGTGCACAGATAGACACCCGTGTCATCAGGGTTCATTTCACTGATCGTCAACGTGCACACTCCATTCTCCCCAAAGACCAATTTGTAATGGCGAGAGGTGTTGATGCGAACGCCGTCTTTCATCCAGATAACCTGAATTTAGCTTGGATATTACGACAACAATATAATGCAAATCTGCTATTATTTGAGCTTTTGGTAAAAAAAGTAAAATCCTTGACAGAAGGAGGATTCGAATCCGTGAGTTCGCGCACCTGGCGCGAGCGCTTGGCCTTGGCCACTTGGCCATCACGCCTGGTGAGGGCTGGAGATTAAATGTAGGTTAGATATGTTGGCTTTTACCCCTCCCTTTTATTCTTAAACAGCTTTCAAAAGGCACAACTACACTACTGGACAATGAAATATCATATTTGAAAAACGATCGTCACTTTCGCGCGTCTGTAACTCCCTTGTCTTTACCGTATTTGTAAATATTAATATTACCATTGTGTAGCCCTTGAAAAGAGCTTTCAGAAAATGTATAACACTAATAGTTTAAACTCAAAGACAATGGAGTTACAGACGCGCGAAAGTGACGATCGCTTTTCAAATATCATATTTCATTGTCCAGTACTGTACATCAAATTTCAAGGGGTGCGTATTTCATTCCATTTCATTTCAGCTGTTTCCACTCACTCCTGCGCTTGCTAGAGCTCCAATAGACAGACTGACATTTCGAAATTATATAGATTAGATCTAAAACCAAAACATACCGATGGATCGGGATTTCCGGAGAGCTTGCACTTCAACGTCAATTCATGTCCAGAAAGAGCCGTTCTATCGGAGAGTGGAGATTCAAAGCGAGGAGCATGATGTTCTTGTGAATCGTGCACATCAACCCTGCACTCCGACAAAGCGACACCAACCTGAAACTTTAAAGCTAAAATCTTCAACTCCTGTTTACCTCATTCTCCAGCACACAACGATAATTGCCAGCATCAGTGACTTGCGCCGAGTGGCACACCAAGCGATGAATTCCACCAGATGTGAGCATCTCGAATCGTCCAGCGGCTTGCAATCGCTCATTATTCCTGAACCATGAGGTTTCCCCTTGTGGAGTAGCAGTGATCTTGCATGAGAGAGTGAATGTTTGTCCAGCTGTTACCGTCTCATTGTTCAACTCTTTTGCCACAATTGGTGGTCCTTCTTTCACCTTTCTTGTCATCAACGGGCTTTCAACTTTAGCTTTAACATCTTCTACTTCTTGAGTCTTTTCTTTCACCTCTACCACTTCCTTTTCCATTACTTTTTCTTCAGTTTTCTTTTCTTTCTTCACTTTCTTCTCTTTCTTTTCTTCTTTTTCTTCTATCTTCTCTTCTTTCTTCCCTTCTTTCTTCTCTTCTATCTTCTCTTCTTTCTTCTCTTCTTTCTTCTCTTCTTTCTTCCCTTCTTTCTTCTCTTCTTTCTTCTCTTCTTTCTTCTCTTCTTTCTTCTCTTCTTTCTTCTCTTCTTTCTTCTTCTCTTCCTTTTCTTCAACAACTTCTTCAATCATTTTCTCAATTTTCTCCACATCCATTTCTTTCTTCATCGAAATAATGGATATCGTTGTCTCACAGCTCACATGTCCTGCTTCATTCTCAATATGACAAGCATAAGTTCCTTCATCTTCACTCTTTATCGCATCATGAATGACTAATTTTGCAAATCCTGGTTCAATCACCAATCTCACTCTCAATCCATCAATCATTTGATGCCCTGTTCGATACCATTTCACTTTTCCATTTATATCAGCATCATAATAAACGACAAGCTCAATCTTTTCTCCTTCTTGAGCTTGAACCATTGGTGCCATCTTTTGTCTAATCGTTGGCTTCACAGCTAAAGACTCGGTCTTCACGGTATTCTTCAGTGTTGCCCACTCTCCATATTGTTTCAAATTCTTGGCCCTCACACGGAAGAAATACTCGGTATTTGGCTCTAAATTTCGAATCTTTGCCTCACAATCAATCGTTCGCAAGCAATCGGTCCAACTTCTGCGATCAGGTTTCCTCATTTGCACCTCATACTCATTAATCTGCGATCCACCAGTCTTTTTCGGTTCCGACCATCCAAGTGTCACTGAAGCAGTCGAAGTCTGATTCACTGTGAAATCTTCGACTTGTCCCGGCTCTCCTTGCTCCTCTTTAAGCTCAACTTTTTCCTCTTTTCTTATCTCATTTCGCTTCGTCACTATCACTTCAGTATCATGATGGATTTTGCCTTTCTCGTTTTCAGCTAAAATTCGATAGATTCCTTGATCTTCAATTTTGATATTAGTAACAATAAGTTGATGTGTAATTCCTTCATTCAAACACATCACTCGTGAATCGGATCTGAGCGGAGTTCCATCTTTCAACCAACTACTATCCGGTTGTGGAGTGCCACTGATATCACAAACAATTGTCAATACTTGTCCCTCTTCAACAACGATTTTTGGTTTAGGCTCGACAATGAATGCTGGAAGAACTGAGCGAACGATTTCATCTTTAGACAAAAGTTTGACTAGAGATGAGGTATGAGCATCGCCGATTGGATTCGTGGCAACCGCTGTATAAGTGCCACAATCATTTGGCTGACAACTCAGAATCTCTAAAGTAGCCGTGTTGTCATCGAATGTTCTCGTCCTAATGTTCTCATTGCCGTGAATAGCTCGTCCATTATGTAACCAAACGATTTCCGGCATTGGTTCACCTTTAGCTTGACATGTTAATGTAATCGAATTGCCAGCTTCTTTCACTTCAACATCGTCAAGTTTCTTCATAAATTTAGGCATATTTTTGACATGATCATCTTCTTCTAAAATTTTTGCGACAACAAGAGTAGCTCTTGTTTCGACAGTGCCCACTTTATTCGCAACTCTGCACACATATTCACCAGCATGATCATCATTCGCTTCATAGATTTTCAGAAAAGCCACACGTCCATCAAAATATGTCCTTAAGAGTCGCGATTCGGCAACGAGTTTCCCGTTCTTGTACCATTCAACAGATGGGGTTGGGGTTCCGTGAACCTCGACTTCGAGAAGTTCTCGATTTCCTTCATAAACCGTTGTATCAGTTAAAGGTCTTGTAATCACCGGCGCTTTCTCTTCTTCGCGATCAACACTTGCTCGACTTGATCGCGCTGGAGTTGGACTACGACTTCGACTGCTTGCTCGACTCGGCGTCAATCTTGCAGCTAGTCCCATATCGATCACTTTCACCGTGCAATGAGTGAAATCTTTGCCCACTGCGTTCACCGCTTCACAAGAGTATTGGCCAGCGTCCTCAACGAGAACATTCATGATGTTCAGTTTCGCCACTCCTTTCCGATCAATGTAGTGAAGCATTCGATTTTCGAGAATCAATTTCAATCCATCTTTATACCAAGTTAGATTTGGGAGAGGTGATCCCTCGACTTGACACTCGAGAACAATCTCATTGCCTTCGCAAGCTGATTTGTCCATTAATGGTTCAACGAAACGAGGCTTTACTCGTTTATCTTGAGCTGGGGTGATTGTCAGGACACTTGTTGTTCTTGCAGCTCCATGCAAATTCTCCGCAACACAAGTGTATGTGCCACTATCGTCGGGTAGAGTGTTGAAAATGTTCAAGCTGACAACGCCATTCTCGAATTTGATTGCTTTCCGATCCAAGTCGAGCTTTTTATCATCTTTAAACCAAGAAATCTTTGGCTCAGGTTCTCCAGAAACTGCACAAACCATTACCAATTCCGTTCCCTCGGGCGCATCTCTTGGATTCGGGAGTTGCATTCGGAACTTTGGCGCTTTCGAATCATCAATCTTCTTTGGTCTTAATTGTTCGGGTTCTTTAATTGTGACAATACATGTTGATGTCACTTGTCCTAAAGCGTTCTTCGCAATCACTTTATATTCACCAGAATCTTCCGCATATGCATTCATCAAAGTGATAGAATATTTGAATAATTGATCGTCGAAATCTAAACGATGACGATCCGAGTGCAAGATCTCTTTGTCGTTGTGGAACCAAATGATTTCCGGTTTCGGATTCGCTTCGACTTTCACCTCTAATTTTAAACGATCTTGCTCATCACAGCGAATATCGTAAAGTCCATGGATGAAATTCGGTGCAAACATATCATCAGGAATCTCAACTTTCAAATGACATGAGCTTTCACATTCACCGAACGCATTTTCCCCGTGAGCTCTCCAATCAGCATCATCACTTAAATCAACATGCAGAATCTCACACTCATATCGACCTTTATCATGTTTCAATAAGTATTTGTTATCTCTAAACACTTCAACTCCATTCTTAAACCATCGAACAGTTGGCTCGGGTAAAGTCGTATTCGTTACGCAAAGAGTGTATGTTTCGCCAAACTTTACTGTTTGATCAGACAATTGATGTCTAAAGAATGGTGGTTGATCCATAAGTGGTGGTTCTTCAGGGAATTCTGTCTTTGTCCTCTCCTTCTTCTTCTTCATTTCTCCAGTTGGTTCAGTGTCTGCTTTCTTTGTTTTCTTTGTTTTCTTTGGCGGCTCGACCACAAGTTTTGCTTGTGTTTCAATCGATCCCAATTCATTTGTCGCTCTGCATGTGTAAACTCCAGCATCACTCTCTTCAATGTTTTTCACGGTGAGCTCAGCGATTCCATTCGTGAAACGAGCCGTGTATTTGGGGGAATTTGTCGGCAACTCTTTTTGATCTTTAAACCAGCGAATCTTTGGTGATGGGATTCCATCAACATCACACGAAAGAGTAGCAATCAAATCGCCAACATTCGCAAAGATATCCTCAAGTCGTTTGCGAATCGATGGAGGACATTCGGTATCTGAATTTGTTTCTTATTTAAATAGTTAGATAGTTGATTTGGTGAAGAGATTTACATGGATTAGCCAATAAAATAAGATCAGATGAGATCTTTTTCTATTTTTGAGCAAAAAGTACATAGAAAAAGAGGTATAGAAGCTAAAATCTTATACTTTTTCTTGATCTTGATATTTCTTAATATTTAGAGATCTGAGCTTATGTTTAAAGGTTTGCAGGACTGGTTGTTTCTATTTTTTTCTCTAGATTCTAACAATCGATTTAAAATTGTGCTCAATCTATGTATTGGCTTTTTTTTTGCCAAATGTTTACTCACCAAAGGAGATATTTCTCTCGAATACTCCATCCATTGAAAGTCGTCTAAAGATCGCTCCTTGTTTCGCCAATCGTCCAATCGGCAACAAATCATCGGACCATCTCTTCCGCGCCAAGAAATCTCTCTTCTGTCGCAATGGGACCTTTCCACGGTATTTTGGTGCCTCCTTCTGGAATTTGGCTTTTAAAAATATTCATTAACACATTCACAAAAAGGTTTTTTAATTTTTGCGGTTTTTTTTAAAGTTATTTCCCTTCCAGCTTGACTAAAAACGTTCACAGGCAAGTGATTTACTTAATTTAGGGGTTAAAATGAAGAGAATTTTTCCAGCTCACCTAAAAACGTTCACACGCAACCGATTTACTTAATTTAATGAACAAAATAAAGAGAAACCTTTACGGATCATTTATCTGAAAAGAGATTAAAGAAATATAGATTTTAAAGAAAGTTATGAACCTTTGAATGCAAATTCATTTCCGAACCGGTGTACCGGGGAATTTCTCGTGCTAAAAACATTCTGAACTTTCTTTCAAATCAATATTTCTTTAATCTCTTTTCAAATAAATGATCCGTAAAGTTTTCTCTTTATTTTGTTCATTAAATTAAGTAAATTGGTTGCGTGTGAACGTTTTTAGACGAGCTGGAAGGGGAAATAACTTACCAAAAAGTAAAAAAAAACCAAAAAATGTGAATGTGTTAAGTAAAGAACAAAAAGATCAGACACACCTCAACATAATCGGACAGATCTTTGAACGCGGACAACATTGGTCCCTGAAATGAGTGGATGAATAAAGGGGGTTGTTAGTTTAAAAAAAAGAAATGAAAATATGGGTACATATCGATGTTTTTTGGCAATAACTAACATAACTAAAAGCCGATAATCACTTTTATTTTACCAATCGATATGCACCCACTTTTTTTTGGACACCGATTTGGGTAGGCCCTCTAAAGCTTACCCAGATCAGCTACCGTAACCTGCTTGCTTCAGCTACCGTAACCTGCTTGATCTTTATGTTTTCTTTGTTTCTAAAACATGACTACAGAAGAAATTAGTTTAGTTTGGGTCACTGTAACACCAGTTACAGATTACGGTAGCCGAGCCACGCTTGAACTTGTCCCAGGCCCGATATTCCCAAAACAAAAGAATGTTTTCTCTAAAAACCTACCACAATCCATGGATGTTGGAGTGCTTCCTGAACAGACATTCTCTTTCTTTTATCTTTTGCCATAAGACGACAGATAAAGTCTTTCGCCAAATCGGACACATCTTCCCATGATGGATCGTCGAAATCCCAATCAGCTGCCGACACGTTGGCCAGCGTTTCCTCGTCGGTGTCACCGAGGAATGGAGAGAGACCGGATAGACTGGAAAAATTGATTTCAAAGCAAAGTTAAACAAGATTTTTGTATCATTGCATAAATTACGTCCGAAATGAAATAAGCGTCTTGTTTCGAACAGGACGTCTGAAATAAAACGAAAATTTTTGTTCACTTCTAGACATGGCCTGGCGCAGTCGGTTAAGAAGAGCGCGTCCGATTTCGCGCAACATCTAGCTCGGTTAATCCCGAGTTCGATTCCCGCCGCCGACTTTTTTTTGTGCTTTTTTTTAAAATAACTTTAAAATGTGTTTGGTGTTTTAGTTTATTAGTGTTTAGCCTAACAACAAGTTTTGCATTACTTTTAAGTTGTAGTTAGCGTAAGTACTACTAGTGTACTCGAAAAACTGAACAAGAAACTAAACAAGAACAAGCAAGAAATCGGTTCCAATACGGTTCTTTTTAGATCCAATACGGTGCCAATTTTTTGGCAGTTCTAAGCCTGAGCCTGAGCAAGGCTTCAAAAACGTTATCTGGGTTTTACAGGGTGACTCAAAAGTTTCTGGAAAATTTTTTTTTACTAAACTTGAAAATGACTGAGAAAAGTTGATTGACTTCCGATTGATTGACTTTAAAATAAAAACCTTAATAAACTTACAGAACGTAAGAGATCACTCCAACAGTCCACATATCGGTAGCTAATCCGACCGGCTGATAATTGACCACTTCTGGAGCACAAAACTCCGGTGTTCCGAATAAGAGTTTCACCGATCGCTTTGGATCCAACTTTCTTGCCAATCCAAAATCGATGATCTTGATGTCGGTGCTGTTTTTGGCCTAAATCTCATTGTTACTTGTTGTTGTACTTGTTGTACTCGTTGAAAGAGTTGTTAACTAATCAGTTGTTTCTCTCTTTTGATAAATCTCACTTGATCACCATTTTATATCATTATAGTCATTATTCTAATAAAACCAGTGAAAGCAGGTACTAGTGACAGCAGGTACTAGTGACAGCAGGTACCAGTGAAAGTAGGTACCAGTGAAAGCAGGTACTAGTGAAATCAGGTACTAGTGAAAGCAGGTACTAGTGACAGCAGGTACTAGTGAAAGCAGGGTACCAGTGAAAGCAGGTACTAGTGAAAGCAGGTACTAGTGAAATCAGGTACCAGTCAAAGCAGGTACTAGTCAAAGCAGGTACTAGTGAAAGCACGCACTAGTGAAAGCACCATACAACTCAAAACCTTCCATCATTACCTTGAGCAAAATATTCTCCGGTTTCAGATCAAGATGCACAATGTTGTTCTTGTGCATGTGTTGAAGACCGAGCAAAATTTGATGCATATAGTCACGGACCTGGAATTGGTGTTGGATTTTTGAATGAATTGATAAGAAGATGAATGAAACATTGATCAAATTGATTGCTTACTTCCGGTTCTGACATCAACGCGTCATCCTCCATAATTTTATCGAAAAGCTCACCACCAGAGACGCTGAAACGGGTTTTGAAATCAAAAAAAAAGTACAATCAAATTCTTACAATTCCTCGATCAAGCACATTTCATTGCCTAAATCAAAAGCCTCATGAAGATGGAGTAATTTATCGTGATGTAGCTGATTCATGATCTCCATCTCGTGAAGAACATTCTCTTTTTTGACACCGGGTCGAACCTAGGAGAAGATTGGTACAATAGGCGTAAATGGATTGTTTATATTAAGACCCATAAACAATTTGACGCAGAATTTTGCGCTCAATCCGAATATCTACTTCTTTTTTTACAAAATGGCACTCTATCAAAAGTTATGAGCGCATTAACGTTTTGTTTATTCAACTTTTCGCTTACAAGTCTGCTCGCTTACAAGCCCCTGCTTACAAACCTGCTTACAAACCTGCTTACAAGCCTGCTTACAAACCTGCTTACAAGCCTGCTTACAAGCCTGCTCAGTCAGTTCTTCAATATTAAACTTTCCGCTTACAAGCCTGCTCAGTTCTTCATTCTTACCTTAACCATCTTTGCAGCCCATGTCTTTCCAGTAGCTCTCTCAATTGCACGATAAACCGTTCCATAAGCTCCCCGTCCTAACTCCTCGTGAATGATATACTGTAATAAAGTTTTTGAAATTGACAAAGAAAAGTTTCTAGAGAGGGGATTGAACCCTGAATTCTCCACCGACTGCTTACCGAACAATTGCTCTACCATTCGACTATTTTGACTCTTATTTCGGAAGAGAAAGAATGGAATACAAGGAAGAAAGAGAAGGATAAAAAGAAGATCAAATGATGCAAGATAACTTCTATCATCCTAACCTTTGCTTGTAAATCTTTTGGAATCCTGTTGAGATCAACCGTTTTATACTCTTCAGCGGTGATTTTCGTCTCTTCTCCTTGCTTTTCATAGTCGATCACTTCAGGCTAAAAGGAGGATTTGGTTTTTGAAATTGAAAAACAAGTTCTTTATCTCAAACCTCTTGTTCTTTTTTCTCTTTTGGTGGTGGAGTGACGACTTGTCGTGTGACTGCTTGCACAGTGACTGGTTCTGATTCATCCGATGGTTCCGAGATTCCGAAAACGTTGTCGGCTCTAATGCGGAAACGATACGTTTCACCAGCGACCAAGTTGAAAAGTGTTGTGAATGGCTGTTTCGTCACTTCGGCTTTCGTCCATTGTTTTTGTTTGGACTGAAAAATGGGATTTTTGAAGGGATTTGGAGAATGAAATGTCTTTGAAAGCTGAAGCTGATCAACACTCTGATCTCATACTTTTAAAGACAGTTAACTTTTGGCTTATCTAGGGAACTAGGGAGCTAGGGAACTAGGGAACTAGGGAACTAGGGAACTAGGGAACTAGGGAACTAGGGAACTAGGGAACTAGGGAACTAGGGAACAAGGGAACTAGGGAACTAGGGAACTAGGGAACTAGGGAACTAGGGAACTAGGGAAGACTAGGGAAGTTAAACTAACTAGGGAAGTTTTTTGGCTAAGACCAAGTGTTGTTTATTGCAAGTCTTGTGTTTCCAATCTGCTTACCGATGCCATTTCAACAGTGTAATTTCTAATCGCCGATCCTCCATCATGTTTCGGCACAGACCACAACAATTTCACTGAATCCACATTTTGATCTTGAACCGTCGGCTTTCCAGGTGGTTCCGGTCGATCAGTGACCTAAAGAAAAAACATTTTGAATGTGTTAACACGTTGGCAATACTCTCATGATGATTATAAACAAGTTTTAAAAGATTTTCTTTTTCATTTCACAGAAAGATCTCGATAAATTTGTACTAGTTTTCAAGAAAAGATTCAAGGCTATCAAATGACTTGAATAGTTTCTTTGAATCTTTGAATTATCAGTAAAATTATCAGTGAAACAGTAGACTACACGACTGTACGCTTAAAATACCATTACGTTAAGGATCTCTAGGGGTTTTCACTTTTTTCCTAGAACTTGAGTGGAAAAGGAACACAAAATGGAGTAAACTCAATTTCAGGAAATGCGTCTTCGTATTTCCTAGGGTGAGAGCTCTTTCACGGAAATATTCTACCTTATTTTGATTAATTCTAAATTGAATCTTGAATGCTATGCTATCCAGCTCAAAATAAAATAAAAAAAATACCGTAAATACTGTAATAGCACCCCACCACCCTCGTACAGTCGCGTAGTCGCAAAAGTTTTTTAGTATTTCATTTTTTTTAAAGCGCCCGTACTTTCAAAAAATGCGTCTTTGGTATCAAAAAATAGCTGAAATTCAGGGTTATTTTTTGATACCTAAGCGCCCATTGTAGCATAAACCAGTATCGAGAAAAACGCGTTCAAAGCTAGACCACGCAACACTCCGCACCGTCATTATCTTTGGTATCAAAAAATAGCCCTGAATCTCAGCTATTTTTTGATACCTAACCGCGCATTGTAGCATAAACCAGTGTCGAGAAAAACTCGTTCAAAGCTAGACTACGCAACACTCCGCACCGTCATTATGGGGGTGGGGTACTATTACAGTATTTACGGTAAGCAAAAATTTCTACACTTTGGTGCGCTGATTGTTTCTTTTTGGGGCCGTTCTGGGGACACTTTTATGTGACGGAAGGAGTCACAAAGAAAAGAAAAAGAAAAGAAAAGAAAAAGAAAAGAAAAAGATAAAGAAAAGAATACGATTATCAGAAAGATAAATATTCGCACTCTTTCACCGATTACCCTCACTTTTCATTTCTTTTCATCAATTGACTTCTTTTCTAGGTTTTTATATTAAAAAGTCTCAGATTTTCGAAGAGATTCAAGTCTACTGTTGCCATTCTGCTTCTGCTATTTGTTTACTGAATCGAAAACTATTTAACAAGTTCAAATGTTGTACTAAAAGTGAGTTAAATCTATATTAAGTCTAAATTCTTTATATTTAAAAAAGACTATCGTAGTCAGCTTCAAAAACCAGCTTTCATTTGATCCGTTCAAATTTTGGCTTTGTATTTCGTCATATTATAGAGAATTTGGCTGATCGAATGTAAACTAACTACGGTAGTTTGATGAAATAACTATTCTTTATAAAACACATAAAGATAGCAAAAGTTTTTTCGCATTCATGCTCTAGAAAGCATGAATTGTTTAAAAGTTCGGCTTTTGCGTAGTTTCTGGGTCGGTCGTCACTCTTTGAAGGCCTATAACTTTATCCAGAGATCATATTTTTTCTTAACTTTTTATATCATTGTACAGAGAATATTCCAGGCTTTCAAATAATACCAAATAGAGCTTGATTGGATAATCAAGCCCAAGAAAATCAAAGCCAACTCTGCGGGAATGAGGCGTACCCAACTCAAGTGCTGTGTCGCCTTGTTTGCATGGGAATGAAAAATTCAATCAAGCTCTATTTGATATCATTTGAAAGACTGGAATGTCCTCTGTATAATGATATAAAAAGTTAGCAATAATATTGTCTCTGGATAAAGTTATAGGCCCTCAAAGATTGACTAGCCGTTCAAAATATCCAGCTACGCAAGAGCCAAAAGTTTAATCAAAAATTTTCAGGAAGATCAACAAAATGGCGTCAGCTGGGTGAGTGAAATCTCATTTTTAATTTTACGTCTAAAATTTAAAACTTTCAAATCCCTAAAAAGCTTTTTTGTTTCTTTTTCTTTTTGCCAAAAAGCCCAAGCCCATCCGTTCCTTTTCTTTCAGGAAAGCGTCAAAATTTCCCTTTTTTTTCTGTTACTTGTTGAACTCTCAGCAATTTGACAAATCTTTCACTTCACACCAGTTGGTTCCTGGTGGCCAGAAAAAGGAAAGAAGTATGAAAGTTGAAAAAATTGCTCTCATTGTTCATTTTTTGAAAAAGCAGAGGAAATTGTTCCAACTCTTTTATGGAAAAATTTCTATAAAAGAGTTTTGATTGGTCAAAAATCGTGAATTCTTCTCTTTAAGAGAAACTTTTGTGGAGGAAAGCTTTGGAAAGAAGAATTTGAGTCATTGGGTCACGTGAGAGAATAAATCAATATGTTTTTAAGGGTAAAATCTGGGAAATCGTGTGTTTTTCTTGATGATGAATACACTTTTTCGCTAGTTATCGTTTGAATGAATTGTCTAGCTTTTTTTTTGAAAGCTTTTCCTCGAGATTCAGCATTTTCCTAAGGAAAAGGAGAGACACAAATTTGTGAAACATATAAATACTCTAAAAATGGATTTAACTCTTTATTTAGATCTTGTCTACCCATTGAAAAGTCGCCTAAACTACGCAAGAGTTACGCCTAAACTACGCAAATTTTGTAAAGCCTAGAATAGCTTTGATATAAACCAAAATACTATTGGGTTGATGGAAAAGTCCTTTCCGATTTTTTGGGAGAGTACCTTAAATTTGTCCCATTTTGACGTTTTATAGCTCATCCTAAAGCTGAATTCAAGACGGATCGATTGGTAAAAACCGTTTTGAGATATCTCTTTTCTAAAAGTTTTTACAGCTATTTTAGTAAAGGGCGGCAGAGCCAAAAAATGACTGTTTTCACGTTTCGTTAGTTTTCCGTGCAGAAACCTAGGCTAAAAACATGTGTTTCGTGATCAGCGTCAAAAATAACCCATAGACCCTAAAAACAACATCAAAAAAAACAAGAAAAACGAAGGAAAATCGCGAAAAGCGGCGGAAAGGTCTATTGATCTGAGGGTCGCTGGTTCGACTCCCACCGGTGACAATATTTTTCAAAAATTTTTTGCTAAGATTCTGAAAATGCGTGTCTAGGGGTTATTTTTGACGCCGATCACGAAACACATGTTTTTAGCCTAGGTTTCTGCGCGGAAAACTAACGAAACGTGAAAACAGCCATTTTTTGGCTCTGTCGCCCTTTACTAAAATAGCTGTAAAGACTTTTAGAAAAGAGATATCTCAAAACGGTTTTTGCCAATCGATCCGTCTTGAATTCAGCTTTAGGATGAGCTATAAAACGTCAAAATTCGACAAATTTAAGGTACTCTCCCAAAAAAATCGGAAAGGACTTTTCCATCAACCAAGTATTTAAAGAAAGCTTTATGTCTTTAAAGGAAGTGTCTTTAAAAGTTCGGCCCAATTTCTCTTCAACCCAATAAAAGACTCATTGAATGCTACCAAAATTGATTGAATGGAAAATAAGGGTTTAACTACAGATTTCTCATGCCTTTTAGATGTAGCTGCCTTTTAGAAAACGTATTACTCGAAAGAAACACACTCGAATCGTATCGATATTCGTTAGCCAAGCGTTTTCCATATCTTTTACACCTTTCCAATCGAAATCCCTAATTGTTTCCCCTCAAAAATCTTGAAATCTTATGGTTGATTCTTTCGAAGATCCCTCTATTCCTTATCTTTCCTTCTTTTCCTTCTTTTCCTTCTTTCCTTTTTTTCATCAAACAAAATCCTCTTGGGAATTGCGTTTCAACAAATTTTCTGGCAAAGACGGCGACAAATTTCGCGCGTTCTTTTTGAACTTTTTTTTTGAGGGAAAGCAGACAAAATTTGAAAAACACGTCAATTTTTGGAATCTCGAAAATAAGCAAACAAATCATTTGCTATGATTTATGCGAAAAGTCGAGAGTGAATTGTGATTTATCGAATTGTGGGGGATTTTTTGGGAAAATTGGAGATCAAACGTCGGCTCAAGCGTCGGCTCAAGCGTCGGCTCAAGCGTCGGCTCAAGCGTCGGCTCAAGCGTCGGCTCAAGCGTCGGCTCAAGCGTCGGCTCAAGCGTCATGACGATTTTAATGGCCTAATGACCAAGGGCATTAGGCAAAAAAAGCTTTGAGAACTTCATAAATACAAATTTTTTGCATTACCTGTATTCCGATCGCGTATTTATCCTCTCCACATCGATTTTTGACCGTACAAATGAACTCTCCGCGATCCGAGATCTCGATTTTGTTAATCGTCAAGCAGGTGTTTAAACCAGAGGTTTCCATCTAAAATTTGAATGTTTGCCTTTTCTAAAGCATCCATTTTTGACAGAAACTACCGTAATCTTGATTTTTATTATTTTCTGATCCTCTTTTTTTCTTTCTCTCCCTTGTCTTTCTTATTTCTTCCTTGGGGAACAAGGCGCCGTTAGCGCAGTGGTAAAGCATCTGGCTGATAAACAAAAGGGTGGCTAGAGGCGCCTGGGTTCTATTCCTCTTCATCCGAAATTCTTTGGCACTCTTTGCCATTCGTTGCTTTCTTACTTTTACTTCCTTTTTCACTTCCTTTTTGTACCTCCTTTTTGAGCTCTTAAAGCTGAGCTTTTTGAGCTTTCAAAAGTGCTAGATTGAACAAAAACTAGAGCCTAGGGTATTGCCAAAGTAGCCAAAGTAGCCAAAGTAACCATGTTGTAGAAAAGTGTCTATAGTTGAAGAGACTTAAATAGTCGACTATATAAGAATTGAGAGGGAAACTTTAGCATCTTTTCATTTCGTTAAGACCTTTTAAGCATCTTTTCTCAAAAATTCGACTTGTTTAGCTATTTAACAGCCATTAAAACTTTGGTTAAACTTTAAAAGGAAAAGTAGCCACGTTTTAGAAAACGTTTTAGCTGAAGAGACTCAAATAATGCTATGTTATTTACTTTCAAATAGTGCATAGCGTTTGATTATTCTCGAATTTAATATTAAATTTCGGAATTTGACAAGCTTTTCAAGAATTTTTACCTTAAATTTGACTCCATCGTTGATCACTTTTCCTTGATTATCCAACCAGATCACTTCGGGCGCGGGTCGACCTAGAAAATTGACATTTAGCTTTAATATTTCCCCAAAAAATTTAGCTTTAATATTTCCCCACTTTTAGTCTTCAAACGACACTCAGATTACGATTGTGAATGTAAATGCAAATTTTTTTCCCCCGAAATCTTGTAGTTTTTGCTAGTCTGAATTTATCGCTTTTTCTCTGCATCATATCATGAATTTTTTAAACGCAAAAAAAGGTGTTCTTCCCCCTTTTCGTGACGTCCAAAAAGTTTCTTCACAAGGTGATTTTTTTCACTCGTTTTTTTTTCCACTTGAAGCACAACCACTTTGCATTTTGATTTCGAAGAAAAACGTGATGGGGAAATGAAAAGAGAAGAGGTAAAAGTTGTTGAAAAGGTGAGCGAAAAGGTGAGCGAAAAGGTTTTCCAAATTCTTCCCTTCTTGTCTTTTTAAAGAGTTTTTCAAAAGTAGAACGCCGAACTGCATTTTCTAGAGCTGAAACGAGGGAAAAAGTAGAGAAAAGCTACTACTTAAATGCGGGAATTTATGGGAATTATTGAGCAGAAATTTGCAAAGGAAGATTGGGGAAGATTGGGGAAGAGTGGGAAAGAGTGGGGAAGATTGGGGAAGATTGGGGAAGACTGGGGAAGTGTGGGAAAGAGTGGGAAAGACTGGGGAAGATTGGGGAAGAGTGGGGAAGACTGGGGAAGAGTGGGAAAGACTGGGGAAAGATTGGACGAGGAAGTGATTTGAGGAAATGTTATTTTGCAGAAAAATAATTCGCTTTTTTAATGAAATAAAACGTTGTTCAATTGGTTCATTTGTTGGTTTTAAACAGAAGTTTAAAAGGAACGAAAAGAGCTTCTGGAAAGTCTAATAAAACCAGCTAGAACTGGCTATGTAAATCTCAGTAAAGCCTTTGTTATTAAGAGTGCACAGATTTCACCACTCGATCCTCACTCCTATCCACAATCCATTTCTGCCGACTTCCCTGTCCCTGTCCCTTTTTTTCTCTCAATTTCTTTGTCATTTCAATATATCATTTCACTACCACAACTACTGGCCAACTTCCAACAAATTGACGCTATTTTTCTTTCTAACTTTCATCTAATGTTATTCTTTTCCTTTTTTTTCAAATGTCCTTGTAAGTTGATATCTTTTTTCCCCCATCCATCTATTCGGGAGTTTAATTTTGCAGAAGACTTTGCGGCGGAAAATTGACAAATTGATGTCTCGCGTGTTCCTTAAGAGAAAAATGTCCATGTCCCTTTTTTCTCTCAATTTCTTTGTCATTTGAATATTTCATTTCATATTTCTTTCACCTCCTCACACAGAAGAAAAGACAAAGAAAAACAAATGAAATGAGAACAAAAAGAGATCTCAAAATAGTGAATGATGAACGAATTTCCTTGTCAAGGCAACAATTTTTTCGTCTAGCCGATGGTTTGAGGAATTTGTCGAATTGAAAAGTGACAGGTTTGATGGAATGGAAAAAAGAGAAGGGTTCGATGATGATCAAGAACATTTTCGATGGGGCCATTGTACAAAATACATCAGAATACACCTTTAGGGCCGGAAACTGAGCTAGGGCCAGGTTAGACAAGACCAGATCCGATCTGGGTCAGGGCTAGCCAGCACACCAGGCTAGAGACGGGCCAGAGTTGTTCAAAAGGCAATTTTTCCGATTGTGGGACATTTGATACGTCCCCGCCCTCTTTGCCATTGGTAATTTAACTTTGAGCGCAAATATCTTTGTGTTAGGCTGACCAATTTAAATAGTTTTTGTACCAATCGATAGAGCAAGTCTTGGCGCATCCAATGATACCAAGAATATTTAAATTGAGCAGCTCAGCACCAAGAAATTTGAGCTCAAAGTTAGATTGCTAATGGGAAAAGGGGCTGGGCGCGTATCATGCCCGATAACCAATTTTTCCGTGACAAGCCAGGCTAGATCTGAATCAGGGCCAAGTCAGGGCTAGATTGCGTTTTAATTTACTCATTGTTTGTTTACTCAAATCCCAAAGCCTACAGTATCAGATTTTCAAGCTCAATCGACCACTTGCACTTGCGAACTTTGATTCACTCAAATCAAAAATGATCTCAAGCTACAAATTGCCCGCCCTCCAAATCTGTTTCCAAATTTAGGCAGAATTTATCGCCTTTTGGTGGGCGGGGAAAAAAAAATTTGGTAGAAATTGGCCAAAGACGGGAATTGGGGGAAAAAGGGGGAGGGCATGGGGGCGGTGCTTTGAAAAGAAAAGAAAAGAAAAAGGAAAAGACTCAGATCACCCACAAAACCCTTTGCTTTTACCCTTTCAAAAAAGAAAAAAAGACTTAATTTCTAATTGAAACTACACATTCACTGATTATTCTACCACCGAAGAAACGATTCTAATTAGTTGTGTCGATCGTCATTTCCATTCCACTTTTTTTTCCTTTTGATCTTCGCAATTACTCTTTTTGGGGTCAATGAGTGACCGAAGTGTTTAAAAAAAGTAAAAAAAGAGAAAGATTTCTTTATTTCACACTTATTATTCTATTTTACGATAAAACCGAAGAGGTTTTCGGAGTTCGAAGCAAAGATGCCGACCATGTGAGTTTTCGAGAGTTTTATTTGGAAAAGTTTTTTATCAAAACTTGCTGGATTACTCACTGAATAACTAAAGAATTTGAGAGCTTTGATTTGAGAGCTCAATTTGTACATCATCATACCGTAAATACTGTAATATTCCCCCACCGCCCTCGTACAGTCGCGTAGTCACAAAAGTTTTTTAGTATTTCATTTTTTTCAAAGCGCCCATACTTTCAAAAAATGCGTCTTTGGTATCAAAAAATAGCTGAAATTCAGGGCTATTTTTTGATACCTAAGCGAGCATTGTAGCATAAACCAGTGTCGAGAAAAACTCCTTCGAAGCTAGACTACGCAACGCTCCGCACCGTCATTATGGGGGTGGGGTACTATTACAGTATTTACGGTAGGTTTTATTGAGCAATTTCATTGTTCAATTATTGAGTTAGATTATTGATTTAGATTCCGAAATCTTGGGTAATTGTTGGATCTTTTTTGTGAAAACTATAGAAAACTGAAAACTAACCAATGCTCTGCATTGGTTCTGCAAATCCGACGAATTCCAGGCTTACTTTAGATCATTTTTATCTTCCAAAAGCTTCATTCAACTCTTTTCCAGTTCTTTCAAACTTATCACTTCATCTTTTCCCATAAATTTCTCGTCAACTAGTAGCTACTTGTAACCAAGGTAAACCCTTAAATATTCAATCAATTTCTCAATCATCAATCAATCAAACAACTATCAACCTTGATAATTGAACAATTGAACAATTGAACAATCAGGTAAGTTTATAGTCAACTTTTCGGCAACTTTTATAGGCAACTTTTCGTTTTTTCTTGTATCAGCTTTTCATAAGCCTTATTCTGGTCATTTGTCTAATCATTTATTCCATTTAAAGCCAACTCAAATATCAATTTCTTCATTTCTTTTTTGCCGGACTGAAGATGTAAGTGATACCCTTCCTCTTAATAGAATCGTTCCTTTTAATTGAGAAAAAGAACCTTTTGGCCTTACACACAAAAAAAAAAACACAAACATGAGATGAAAAAGAATTCGAGTGGAAATCCCCTTCGTTTTGTCCATTTTCTTGTCTATCGCAAATCGTTATGCAATTAGTGAAGCTATTCGGCATTTCGAATAGAAATATTGGGAAAACGGGGGAAATTCGAAGTGAAAATGGATAAAGAGAAGGGTTTGGCAGAGATGAGAGTTAAATTAACGTTAAATGAAATGAGCGAGTCGATCTCTGGAATCTCAATCATTTCTGAAGCCCGTTCAAAGTAAACAAGATTGTTGATTTGATTTTTAAAATGTCAAATCTAATTTAATGATCTTGTTGCTCTTTCCCGAGTACAGTTGTTCGATGGAAACAGCTTTGCTTTTGTGTTTCTGAAGATTGTAGGCCCCGCCCCTTTTCCCATTGGCAATCTAGCTTTGAGCTCATTATCTTAGTGTTGGGATGCTCAATTTAAATATTCTTGGTATGATTCGATGCTCCAAATCTTTCTCTATCGATTGGTATAAAAACTATTTAAATTGATCAAGACAACGCCAAGAAATTTGAGCTCAAAGCTAGACTGCCAATGGCAGAAGGGGCGGGGTGCGTATAAAAGGTCTGTCGCCGCGCCTCCTTTGCCATTGTCAATCCAACTTTGAGCTCAAATAGCTTGCAAGAGTGGCCGGCAAAAAGAAATATCTGGACAAATCCCTTGGACTTGGACTGGACGAAACTTGGACAAATCCCTGTTGGACAAATCCTGGACAAATCTTGGACTTGGACAAATCTTGGACTCGGACAACCCGGTTCAAAATCCCAATCTTACTTGTCCCATTCCCAGATCTCGTCCCATTTCTACTTGTTCAAAAATCTCTGCAATCATTCCCGCTTTTGTCCCCGGTTTCCCTTTTTTCTTTACCGGGAAGCTTCTGCCGAAAAAAAATGTTCGGATCATTTTCATCGCGACGATTATATTTTTCCTTTTTTTCTCTTTTCCCATTTTGTCCATTTTGTCCATTTTTGTTTCCACTTATTTCCACAATGCACTCTGCTCAGTGATGCTCTAAAATAGGGGGAGAACTCTATCGAAAGCTATCCAAAAAGTTCACAGCATAGTGATAAATCACTTAAAAAGCTTAATAAATAATAAATCACTTAAAAAGCTAAAGCTTTAACAAAAAGTGATATTTCCATTTGCTAAACTTAGTAGAAAATAGAAAAATGATAGCAATTTTAAATTTAAATTTAAATGAGTTTTAAAAGTTTAAAAGTTTAGCATATATTTATTTTCAAAAATGAAATGAAATTTCCATTAAAACTATACTATAACGGGGAGTGGGACAAATGCGACCTTTTTTTGCGCACCCGGACATTTGCGCGCCTTTTTTTCCAGACCTTGCCCATTAGCGCACCTTTTTTCGCGTTTCGCGTTTTAAGAAAGCTCTAAAAAGCTAATATTAACTAATTTCTATTCCAAAAGTTGTTTTTCTAGGTAATTTTAGGGCGTAGAATTGCAAATTTTGCCATAACAGAGCTTGTGGAACCAATTTGAAAGACAAAACGGCTAGGTCAAATTACAGAAAGTTGTCGATTTTTCTCTTTGTATAACTCCGTCCGTTCGCTTCCACAAGCTCTGATATGTCAAAATTTCGATTCTACGCCCTAAAATTACCTAGAAAAACGACTTTTGGAATAGAAAGAGGTTAATATTAGCTTTTTAGAGCTTTCTTAAAACGCGAAAAAAGGTGCGCTAATGGGCAAGGTGC